GCGGCGGCTCCGGCTGCGGCGGGGGCTCCTCCGGCGGCGGCGGCGGCTCCGGCTGCGGCGGGGGCTCCTCCGGCGGCGGCGGCGGCTACTACTCGCAGCAGACCACCCAGGTCTCGTGCGCCCCGCAGCACAGCGGCGGCGGCGGCGGCGGCTGCGGCGGCTCCTCCGGGGGCGGCGGCGGCTCCATCTGCGGCGGCGGCTCCTCCGGGGGCGGCGGCGGCTGCTTCTCCAGCGGCGGGGGCGGCGGCGGCTGCGGCGGTGGTTCGTCCGGAGGTGGCGGCGGCTCCAGCTGCGGCGGTGGCTCCGGGGGTGGCTCTGGGGGCGGCAAGGGCGTCCCTATCTGCCACCAGACCCAGCAGAAGCAGGCGCCTTCCTGGCCGTGCAAATAAGGCCCCCGGGCTGCCGCGGAGAAGGAGCTGGAGGTGTTCTCCGGGGCGCCAGCGGGCTTAGCCATCTCATGATGTTGCCGCCTTCCCCAGCCTTCCCGTCTTCACCACCACGCAAGAAGCCAAGCGGTTCTCAGGCTGCCTCTCATTCTGCAGCTTTTCTTCTTCTTGGTTTCTGTATGACTACCTCCCAACTCCAATGCCTCCTTCATCAATAAAGTGCAATTCATGAGAATCTCTGGGTCTCAGCAGTCTTTGTAGCTTCCCAATTCACCCTTTTTGTCCTGTTCTTCATTCTTCCACGCATCCATCCACACTTCCATTCATTCAACGGATATTCTATTGCGGAGAGAGTGGGGGGATAGAGGGAGTCCGCAGGGGAGGAATGGCTAGTAAACAATGAGCAAAAATGTGAAAAATCTGGCTTGTGGCTTACCATCATGCAGTGATCCCAAAACAAAAAACTCCTGGAAAGTGACTTTCACTAACCACCAACACACACACACACACACACACACACACACACACACACACAGTGAGTTGGGTAGCCACCGTGAGTCTCCTCATCTAGATTTTTGTTTGGTTGGTTGGATGGTTTGTTTTGTTTTGTTTTATTTTGTTTTGTTTTTGTAGACAGGCTGCCCTGAAAAGACCCCCTCTCTCATAGTCTGAATCTTACTCAGCAAAGTCAGATAATAGGGTGACTGCACCTAGGCACCCAGCTGCCCAGACTCACAGGAGAAAGGACAGCCTATGAGATATCCAAGAGCCTCTGCGGTGGGAAAGGCACTCTCCTAGGCACCTGTAGGAACAGAAGGAAGTAGGGAAGCTATTGTCTGCCCTCTTGAAGGGTTTTCACCCAGCTTGGGAAGATACAGCATAAATGCGCGAGATGTTAAACATCGGTACCAGGAGGTCGCCGGAAAACTCATGAAACTTCCCAGTTAACAAGGAGGAAGCTACMATGGTTCCAAGGGATGTGTCAATTGCCTAGTCTTCAGTCAAGGGGCAGATCATCCACCTAGCCAGCTTCTGTTTTATATTCTGATTTTACGCATTTACTTAAAGCAAAATGTACCCAGAGCAAAACTACTTCATCAAAAAATCAAGATCACTTTCCCATCTAGTCACTACTAGAAAAAAAAAAAGACAAATTATCCTCCAATTCTTCACATAGAGTCACCACCACCTTCATCATTTTTACATCAGTAACACAAATCAGAACAGGTGGCAGCCTTAACAATATAGTAGAACACCTTGTGTATTATTTTATGTTATTTTTAAACAAATGAAATAGACACGGTGGGGTAGACATATTTCTCCCTACTGTTTCTGTTAGAGATAAAAATCTCTGGACATAGCATATAAAACAAAAATTAAAAAGCCTAGAAAGAAGGAAAGAAGAAGGCAGAGTAACTAAAGTCCTCAGAACTAAGGAACTGACCCAGATAAGTTCGTAATTCCCTGAGTTTTCTTTTTCCCCACTAGGTATACTAGATTGGGCACTCAGAATTCTACAACCAAAAAATATTGACAGATGTAAACAAAAATAATCCCTCAAAAAAACCTTTATTTATCCAAAGAATCAGGAAAGGGACGACTTAGCAAATCAAGTTATCCCTTTTTGACAATACCCACCCTACTTCAACCAATACCACATGGAAAAAAATGTCTAGACTTCCACCCTGGAAGGAGTTCCTATGGACTTACTGGGAACTAAGAAGCCATACTACTCTCCCTCCCCCAGCACACACAAACACTGCTATGGTATAGAGAAGATACCAAGTCTCATAATACCCAAAATGTTCAGCACACTATAAAAAAGTCACTCATCATATCTACAACCAGGAAAATTCTTAATTGGAATGAGGAAAGACCCAATAAATTGATGCCAACACTGAAATAACAGAGATTTGAGGATTATCAGTCAAGATTTTAATAAAAACTCATTATAAAATGCTTCAATAAGAAACTATAAACAATTGAAACAAATTTTAAAAATTAGAAAAGTCTCAGCAAACACATTAAGAAGAACCAAGTGGAAATTTTAGAACTAAGCTAAAGAAATGTAACCTTTTATAGAACTGAATTTTAGAACTGAAATTTTTTTAAAATCTCACTGGATCGTCTCCACAATAGAGTAGGGATGACAGAGTAAAGAATTAATTAGCTAAAAAAAATAGATCAATAGAAGAGAGAGAGAGAGAGAGAGAGAGAGAGAGAGAGAGAGAGAGAGAGAGAGAATGAATCTGTGAGGCAACAAAACCTGCTAGCATTTGTGTCCCTAAAGACTCAGAAGGAGAGGAGAAAGGGTTTGAGACTGAAAAATATTAGAAGAAATGATCTCAAAATCACCCAAATGTGGTCAGTGAATCAATCTTTGGATTCAAGATGAGCAGACTTCAAACAGGACAAACCCAAAGCGAGTCACATCAACAAACATCATATTCAATTTTTGAAAACTGATGGCACAGAAAAAAACCTTGAAATACAGTAAAGAAAATAACATATTATAAAGGAAGAATGACTTGAATAACAGCAGATTTCTTGTCAGAAACCATGAAGTCCACAAAGAAGTAGTACCACATTTTTCAAGAACCAAAAGAGAACTATTAACTCCAAATTCTGTGTCCAGTGAAAATATCCTTTAGAAATTAACAGTCCATATGAAAGAGAACTATGAACATTTGTCGCCAGCGGACCCATCCTAGAAGAATGGCTAATGGAAGATCTTAAAACAAAAAGAAAATGATAAAGAAGTGAATTTGCAATATCAGGAAAAAAGAGAGATAACAAGGGTTAAAGTATGGGTAAATATAGGACAGTATCCTTTTCCTTCTGAGTTTTTTAAAATTATGCTTGATAGTTAGGAACTGTATCATCAGTGTGCTTTTCATGGATGTAGAGGAAATGTTAAAACAACTGTATTATAAATAGAGGAGTAAAGGAGCCTAAAGGGAGGTAAGATCAGCATTTCACTCAAAATGACAGTTTCCCCACCCAAAACACCATGGTAAGTTATCTATAGTGTAATCCCTATAGCAGCTGCTAAAAATATCAATAAATGCAAGGAGATCCACTCAAAAACACTATAGATAAATCAAAATGCAACAATTTAAAGCTGTTTGGAGTTGGGGGAGAAGTGACATGCATAATGTAAAGCTGTCCTTCCTACACTCCTTGATACATCTTTTATTATTTCTGTGCTAGTCCCAAGTGCCATAATCTCTCTCCTGGTTTCTTGCTAATATCTATCCAAAACTGTCTTGTATGTGTTTTGTGTATGGCTTCTTTTGCTTTGTATTAAATTTATAAAATTCATTCGGGTATTTTCTTTGAGCAGTAATATTTTATTTTTCACTTTTCTATGGTTTAGCAGTATATGAATGTGCCATAGTTTTTCTACTGTTGATTGACATTTGGGTTGCTATTTTCAACTTTTTGCTATCACGAGATTTGTACATGTTAAGCTTTAATGAATAACAGTCAGTTTTCCCAAGTGGTGCCTCAGAGTTCCTGATGGTGATGTTTGCAGCTCACCAACAGACACTTGGTTTTGTTTTTGCTGTAGTATTGATCAATACTTAGCTTTCTACAAATCAAATATTCATATGTTCTGTTTCTATTATCACTCATTTCAACATTACCCTGGGAATCAGATTTCAACATGACCTTCAGAAGGGACAAACCATCTTTCAAAAATACACCTTTCAGTCTTCTGCGAAGCTCAATCAAATGTATATTTTAATTTAAAACACTGCATTGTTTATTTCCAGAATTTCCATTTGTGACTTTGGTAAGGTGCCCATTTTACTATGGAGAGTCCCCTTTTAAAGATTATGTATCTGAGCATTTTTCTATAAATTCTTTAACATGAGCTTTTCAAGTCTGTTAACTCTACCATCTGCTCATCCTTCTTTTGCTCTCCTTCTCTAGATTATTTATTCTCCTGATTATGGGTCATAGGTTTTCATTGTTGTTTGTTGATGTTGTTTTCACATTTAGTAATGTTGTGTTTTCTGGTTCTATTTTTCCCTCTGAGAAAACCTGTAATCTGTTCTGGTAGAGAGGTACATTAATAGCAGACCCCCAATCCTTATCTAAAGAATTCCCTTTAGGCTTGGTTACAGTGAATCTGTATCTGTTTAGACCTTATTTCTAGGATGTTACCCTTGGTCCTTCATTACCGTATTAATTCCTAAAGTATAACTTCTCTGAAAGTGAGGAAAAAAAAAAAAAACAAGATTTTTACCAAGACCATCTAGCTCATCAGAACTCAGACTCTGTCCCTCAGGTACCGGAAGCCAGTGAAGTCACACTCATCTCTAGCTCTCCAACTCTTAATTGCCCTCTTGCATGCAGCTTTTTCTAGCATCCTACCTGCTTCAATTTTTGATTTTTACTGTTCTCAAAGATTCAAAAGACTTCAAAAGAAATTATTTTTCATATTTTCCCCAATATTTATCATTGTTATTAGAAGACTGTTAAATCATTTTAACTTTGACATCATCAGAACTGAAACCTCTCCATAGTTAGCTCTGTATGGTATGTTTATTATGTTTTTGTTTGTTTGATACTTGGAAATGAACCCAGGGGCAATTAACTGCTGAGCCACATCCCCCATACCTTTGTATTTTTTGAGACAGGGTCTCACCAAGTTGCTGAAGCTGCTCTCAAACTTTTGATCCTCCTGTCTCAGCATCCTGAGCCACTAGGATTACAGGTGTGCGCCACCACACCCACTATTGTAGCCTTAATAAGCATAATTATTGTTCAATTTTGCAGGGGCATCTGGAAAGGTAAGCCCCTCCTCTATACACACACCTATTCACTAAAAAATAAAGGGTTGTGGGTTTTTTGTTTTGTTTTGTTTTGCAAATGTACTTGCATAGTACCAGCCACATATAAGTAGTCGAATATCATTCTTTATAATAGATCTATTGGTGCGCAGCTCAGATACCCTGAATCACTCTAACAATTTGGATCACTATCAGTTTCTGCAC